GGAGAACCTAAGCTGTTTGAATTGAATGAATTTTTCGAACGAAAAAATTTTTCTCCAAAGGGTATTTATAAATAAAGGGTATTCCAGGGTATTTTATAACGTCTTAGCATGCGCTCTTTAATTTACAGTATGAGAGGAAATAACATTATGCAATATAATGCATCTTATGGAAAGCCACTATAGTGGTCCGTAGTACCTCAGTGGCATCATATGGAAAGCCACTATAGTGGTCCGTAGTAGCGAAAGGGTTAACTGTCAGTTCCCTTTCTGACTTTTTCCAATCCAGTTTGCAAAAAATCGATTTTAAATCTGAGTTTTGGACAGTGTTTCTCTTAGACTAGCTACGTACCTACTGAATAATGTTTGTCTACATTTTCCGCTGCCTAGAAATGTTACTAACACTATGCCGTCCGGTGGTGTCATGCAAAAACTATCTGTTGTATGCCGGTGGCACCACTTCGGTGCCATTTTAAAAAACTGAAATAACATTTGAACTATATTTCTTGGGTGTTAAAAGGCAGCAAACTAACTATAGCATCGTGCTTATTTAACTAAAAATTAAGTACGAAAATTCTCGGATGACTTATCTTAATTTTAGGAATTTATATTACCGCCACCTTCGAAATTTTTGTTTCAATCTAAAATTTTCAAGCTATTATGCCGGCGTCAAACAAAAAAATCATATCTAAGATCTGCGGACGGCATAGTGTTAATACGACGAATGCCCTTACAGCTCAAGTACTTTTGTGACCTACGATATGTTATTAAATCTAATAAACTCTTTCTAATCCGGATATGTGTTATTTGATTTCAATGAAATTTATAAACATTATTCTCACATATTCGACATATACGACAATCTCAAAATATTTGCTATACCGCACGTATGTACAGAGAAAAGACGTTCAAAATGATGTTCTAAACCTAAATATAATAAAATAAGAATAAAGTATAATAAATATAAAAATAAAGTATAATAATAAAGTATAATGAAATAAAAATAAAAATAAATAATAATATAATATAATAAAATAAGAGAAAAATATGCTGAACCTAATCCAGATCGAACAGAGATCTAACATAAAACTAATTCCATCTTAAGAACGCGTCGAAAATACGAAAATACATCTTTGCGTGTGCCTCGGAAACAAAGGCAGAGCGGCGCTAACACGTAGAGGAAAAAGTTGTTCAGGATGATGAGCCGGACAACATATTTTAATGTCATCAAAATTGGCGAGGAAACTAGAGCTAGAGTAAATAATACCCCTGAAGCCCGTACCAGGATACATTGCGACGTACAGTATCTCTTAATTACGATCGATGTACGCTATTTAAACGATCATTATTCTTATTCACAATACGTTTCAGATGTCTCCACAGTTTAATGTTTATTACCTGCCAAATTAGAGTCTTTTCATAAAATGAAAACGTAAATCATTCATGGCTAACTTTCGCCAACTATACTCCTGGCAATCGATAGACCAAATATGTATGTATCGATTTCCTCGTAAACTTTATAGCCATATCAGTCTACATCATCGGAGTATCAACTTGCCCCTTAGTGGTGTAAATTGATACGTTTTAGTTTGAATAAATGGACCTGTCTTCATTTACATTGCATTATGCGTCTCAAATTTTCATTTACAGTGTCTGAAGACAAGGAATGAATCTACATACATTCAACGCAATTTCTCATGCAGATATTAAAATTCATGTGTCGCGTCGTCCTTGAATAAATCGATTTTTATTATGACTTCTAGGCTGCTGAAGGCAGAAGAAAGTTTCAATTACATCAACAAAATTACGCTGAATTCTCTCCAAGTTTTCCGCAGTTTCTAGCCAAAAATGGACAACTTTTGGCAGAGGAGATACGATTATTTCGAGCCTACTCTTTCCAACTGGTCCATTTTTGTGTACAAGCTAAGGGACAATTCGAGAGAATTTACTGTACTTCGATATTTACGATACGCCTGACAAAAGATTTCCTTCTAAAATACCTTACCGACGTACATTGCTTTGTAACAGCGACAAAATTACGTTTGTTTAGACTTTATACGGCCGTTGTTATAAGGTGTGCTGCAATTAAAGAGGTCATTCCGAAATTTCTAATGGAAACATTTGAACAACATCGAGGATGTCTCCGAAGACAAATGCATATTGCTGCACTTGCAACACCTTATTGACTGTACACACATTTGGCGGAATGTATGATTGGATCCTCAACAATTTCTGTGATTGTTAACACGTTCCGTGCCACGTGTACCATAAATGGTACACGTTAAACTTGTCCATCAGGCCACGTGTACCATAAATGGTACACGCGGACATATTTATTTAAAGCGCTGAAGACATACATTTTGTGACAAATTTGATTGTATAAAATATATTTCCACCAAAAGGATGAGAGGCATTGTAAAAAATGCTGTATAGAACAAAGCACATAAATTTGTTTAATCGTTATATACACAATAACTATTAATTACAATGTTTGACTCTTTTAAAGCAAGAGCTGCATAAAAACGGTTGATTCGGGCAATCACTACTTATCTACTGATGATATAATGAAATATTATGTGATAATGTATCAATCTTTAGTCAAAACATCAAATGGCCTGAACGACAAGTTAGGCAAAAATGGCTTGGCACGGAACGTGTTAAAGAAGAAATCGGAAGCATTTGCACTCAAGTGTCTCCTCAGAGAGGACATTGCAAAACTGCTGATAATTATGGTACTTTTAAACATTAAACTTTAATTGAATTTTCACATTTAAAATTAGCAATTTTTGTTTTATAAGATTTATGTTGATACAATGTTTTATCAAATTTTATTTTAAACAGATTAATTACTTCCGACGATCTATCTTCTTCAAAGCGTTACCTGCTATGTTCTCCGTGAGTATGCATATGGGATGTTCTCGTTTGGAACCTTTAAATCTAAATATATCTCGAAAACAACACATTTTCGGGACAAGCGTTAAATACAAAAATTACTCGATTTCAAGGGTGAAATACGATTTATTTCTGTTTCATCGATCGCTTTTAAGGCGATTTGAAGGATATATTTGTTTCTTTATACGGAAACCTATATTTTTATTCATAGATTTTTAGTCTACGAGAAGAAAAAATTATTCGTTTGCTTATGGAACTTCGTTTCTTATTTATGACCGCGTGTTGATAAATCAATAACAATTGCACTTTCCCGCGTGACATTTTTACTACACGAAGAATTGAAATAGTCGCTGCAGTAAAAAAGCGACGCGAAAAGTACAATCGTTATTGACTTCTCACAGCGACCAGTCATAAAAAAATAAAGAAGTTTCATAAATAAATAAATCTTTCATTTCATTAAATATCATTGTAAGGTAAAATTTGATTAAAAAATGTCTCGTACGAAAGTTTATTCTTTCTCCGCGTAGAATAGCAATATGTAAATAAAAATATAG